ATTGTATTTAAGATAATCAGCCTTTCTTCTTCAGCCTCCCTACTCATCTTCTTGGAAATCTTCAGCATCATGAATTTGTTATAAACTCATTAAGTTTTTTTTTCATTTGCAGTGAGTGCAAAATATGACCTTTATTTATGCATTTATTTGCTCTGAGCCTTGAAGTCTTCCCCTTCTTGTTAGTGTCGAGCTATACTTTTTATAGATTAATCCCAAGTTTCTTGCCAACTTCCTCTTTAGAGGCATGACACCAGCCAGTAATAATGCATTTTATATTAATTTTATTTACAGAACCCTATTGAAACCTGAATGAGATGAACAGATAATTCATCTGAAAAAATCTGACAGAGTGTAAGATCATCATGTTTAAGAAATAATACTTACATGGAGGTTATAAAATACCTATGATAAAACACCTATGAAAAAACCTACTATATTCCTTACAAAGTTGACAGATGCTACACACACATACACACACAGAAAATAATCTTACAGAACACAGATTACAAAGAGGTAGATTGACTGCATGTCTTTTTACAATGCATATATTGGTACAATCAAGGTGTGAAGTAAACAGCTTTTTTTTACATTTCTGCTATATAATATTGCATTGTGCTGGTTTGCTTTGTTAGACTTTTTGGTAGTGGGGGAGGGGCCCCCAGGTGGTTCAGGTAAGAAGGTGAGTAGCTCCCCCTGCTTCAAAACCAGGAGCCAAGGAGCCATTAGAGAGACAATAGATGTCTCTGCAATTAACATACAAAAGAACTAAGATAAGACCTGAGCAGAGCAAGCAGTTAGAAGAGGAGCTGTGCTGGAGAGGTGAAAGGCAGTGCTGGGATGAAGATCCCGTGATTGGTGAGGAAGAAGGTGCCCAAGCAGAAGTTTCCCTGCAACCTTGGTGAGGTGGCAGGCTGTCCCCCTGCATTCATGGAGAAACGTGGTGGAACATTCCCTGAAGGTGCCAGGAGCAGTGAACTTGGCCAGTAGACTTGGATTTGCTGTCAGTGGACTTGGATTAGGCAGCTGTGGAAGACCCCAGCACCAGGGCAGGTGACTGCTCTCGAAGCAGCTTGTGACTCTGTGAGAAGCCCACACTGGAGCGGCTCCAGACCTCATAGCAGGGACTCATGAAGGAGAGGTTCATGGAGGACTCTCTCTACCATGGAAGGGATCCTGTGGTGAATCAGGGAAGGACTGTAAGGAATCCTTTCTGAGGAGGAAGCAGTGACAGGAACCACCCGCCTGTGAACTGACTCTAAACCCCATCCCCTGCCACTTGTGCCGCTGAGGGGAAGGAGGGAGAGAAACCAGGAACAAAGTAATTTGGGCCTGGGAAGAACGGAGGGGTGGGGCAATGTATATAAATGCTGCTCTTTGTGTTGTCTCTGTCCTGTGTGCATTTTAATTAGTGAGCATGTAAGGACAAGAAAAGAAACAAAACAAAAACTGTGAGAAAAGTAAAAAGAGAAGACCAAAATGACAAAATGGACAAATAGATCTTACAGTGAAAAATTTTGAAAAAAGCTATAACTAAAGCATGCTTGGCTGGGGTGGAAGGTCTTGCCAAACAACAAACTGATGTTTTTATAATGCACAAGGTAAATACAAATTGAAAAAAATATGCATTTTTTTTCTTGTAATATTTTATTTATTCTTCCAACATTAATGTTGGAAGGGACCTTAAAGATCAGCTAGTTCCAAGCTCCCTGCTATGAGCAGGGACACCTCCCATTAGGCCAGGCTACACAAAGCCTCATCCAACCTGGCCTTAAAAACCTCCAGGGAAGGGCCTTCCACAACCTCCCTAGGCAACCTACTCCAGTACCTTACTATCCTCATAGTGAAGAATTTCTTCCTGATGTCTAACCCAACTCTCCCCTCTTTCAGTTTAAAACCTTTACCCCTTGTCCTATCACTACCCTCTCTGGTGAAAAGCCCCTCCCCAGCTTTCCTGTAGGACCCCTTGAGGTACTAGAAGGCCACTATAAGGTCTCCCTGAAGTCTTGTTGGAGCTAAATAGTCCTAACTTTCTCTGCTTGTTTTCATAGTGGAGCTGCTCCTGCCGTCTGATCATATTTGTGGCCCTTCTCTGGACCCCCTCCAACAGCTCCATGTCTTTCCTGTACTGATGGCTCCAGAGCTGTACACAGTATTCCAGGTGGGGTCTGACCAGAGCAGAGTAGAGGGGCAGAATCACCTCCCTAGCCCTGCTGGCCATAATTCTTTTGATGCAGCCCAAGACACAATTTGCCCTCTGGGCTGTGAGTGCACACTGGCGGCTCATGTTGAGCTTCTCATCTACTACCACCAGCAAGTCCTTCTCCTTAAGACTGCTCTCCAGTCATTCCTCCCCCAGCCTGTATTTGTGCCTGGGGTTGCTCTGACCCAGGTGCAGGACCCGGTACTTGGCCTTGTTGAACCTCATGAGGTTGGCACTGGCCCACCTCTCAAGCCTGTCAAGGTCATTCTGGATGGCATCCCTCCCTCTAAGGTGTCAACTACTCCACACAGCTTGTTATAATCAGCAAACCTGCTGAGGATACACCCAATCCCACTGTCAATGTCTCCAACAAAGATGTGAAACAGCACTGGTTCCAATACTGATCCTGAGAAGCACCACTCATCATTTGACTCCATTTGGAAATGGAATCATTGACCACAACTCTCTGGGTGTGACCATCCAGCCAATTTCTTATCCACTGAGTGGTCTATTTGTCAAATCCATATCTTACTAGTTTGGAAAGCAGAATGTCATGTGGGACAGTGTCAATGTTTTGCATAAATCTAGGTGTATATAATACCAGTTGCTCTGCCACCATCCACCATCTCTGTAGGTTTGTCGTAGAACGCCATCAAATTGGTCAGGCAGAATTTGCCCTTAGTGAAGTCATGTTGGCTGTCATAAATCAACTCCTTATTTTCCATATGCATTAACAGATTTTACAGGAGGATCTGTTCCATGATCTTGCCATAACAGAGACTGAGCTGCTTGTAGTTCCCCAGATTTTTTTTCCCCCATTTTTAAAAATGGGAAAACGTGAATGGGAAAACCTTTTTTCCAATTGGCAGGAACCTCACCAGACTGCCGTGACCTCTCAAATATGATGGGACAGAGACTTAGCAACTGCATCTGACAGTTTCCACAGGAACCATGGATAGATCCCGTTACATCCCACAGACTTGTGTACCTTAAGATTCTTTAGATGGTCATGAACCTGTTTTCCTACAGTGGGGTACCTCATTCTCAAAGTCCCAGCTTTCACTTGCTGTGGCCTTTGCAATGAGGCTGGAGAACTTGCCAGAGAAGACTAATGCAAAGAAATCACTGAGAACCTCAGCCTTCTCAATATCCTGAGTAGCTAGGTCTCCCGTTTTCTTCAGGAGAGGGCCTACATTTTCCTTAGTTGTCCTTATATCCCACAGATTAAAATATTATCATAATATTTTGGTCAGTGGCATGGAAACTTACTTCTCCCAATATCATAAGATTTGGTAAATCTCACTATTGTTCTCAATATTGCAAAGAGTTACAGATAGTAACTCTTCATGCATGCCTTTGTGCAAATATAAATAAAATATTGGAAAATATTTTATTATTTATATTATTGTATATATTTTTAGATACGTTTATACATATAAAACTTGGCTGAGTTTTGAAGAAGATCAAAGAAGTTCACAGATCTGTGGCAGAAAAATGTCTCCCTCTGTGCTAGCTATTCCTGGTTTTCTGTCCTTTTTATTCATGTTGGAACTCCATTTTTACTTTCTTATATTGATTCTGCAATAATACCTGCTCAGGCATTCAACCTGTTTACATTAACAGCACATCTATGGACTTCACTTACAGTCTCCGTGTATAACTCTAACTTGGCACTCTCTCAGATATAATTTCTCTCAAGTTAGAACTTGTCATCTTTACAGGATGACATTTTATGGAAGGCAGTAGTAACTACATAACCAGAGTGTGCCACTTTGATGCCACTTTGAAGGTAGGAGCTTTGTTGTTGTTGCCTGCTTATGACTGGTTGCAAAGTGAGGGTTTTAACCTGACCTCTCTTAATGCCTCTTCAGACAACCTAGAGCACCTAAGACATGGTCTGTTATCTGGCATGCTGATTTGTAACTCTAAAGCTCTGAAGTCACTTCACTGGCCTGCAATAGTTGTTGTGCGTAATATGGTTAGATTGAAGAATTTTGCACATATCAGGGAAAAGAGATAAACAGAAACTTCTGCAAGGGAATGAATGCTGGGGTGGGGCAATTTACTTTCTGCAGGTTACTCTCTCCCTAAATAACAGCAGTGTCAAATAAAACTGATTTTTTTTTTTTTATTTAATTTTTACTTGTAGCACAGAAATATGTTAATTTGCATAACAGGCACAGGTGGATGGACACATGACAAATTTCATCTTATACAGATGCCACTGAACAAAATGTGCTCCAGATTTTGTAGACAAGCAGGTCTCTATTTTTGTGGGTAATAAAGTATCCTGTGGCATAACATGAAGAAAAAAGAATCTCCAAAGGGATGGCATTAGAAAAATGGCCTAACTCCAG